GCGAAATAATTTTTAATTCTCCTTACCTATTTTTCTTTATAACTTATTTATTTCGAATAGCGGGCTTTATGACACTTATCATTAGCCCTTTAGCTGACTTCGGGCTTCGCAGAGGGGAGTTACATCAAAGTGTGAAAAGTGGAGAGGGGGGACAGAATAGTGATTCAGAGATGTGGAAGAGGCAGACAGACACAAAGGCAGAGAAAAAGGTAAGATTATTACGGTGGAAGTGGGCGAATATGACATACAGTGGGGTCATGGCAATTTGAAGTCAGAAGTCAATTGCCGGTTTATAGACTTTTTTGCCGTATGAGACTACGTTGCCCAGGTACACCACGTGGAGGCAAGGCTATCGCACCTTATTCTTCGTAACTTGAGAGCGAGCACAAACTGGGCAAATGGAAGGGGAAAAACTGTTATTTGGAAGTACTGAGGAGCAATTATCTGCCTAATGAGTCATGGCCGATGGGTTCTAGTTTGAACGCTAAAGTTTACAGTTTATACTTAGACTTGGATATTAGTGTGGATATAATAAACTAGAATTACAAATATCTCGGAATAACAGATTGGAGGTAGGTAAACATAAAATTGAATTTAGCTTTTAAAAGCTCCTTTATTTATGAAACACCCTCCAAGTTTTAAATCTTTACAGCCATCTCGCTCATTGTGCAAGCTGACATATAGCTCTTTGATCTGAAATGTGGGAGGTAACTTGGATCGACAGAGTTTAACATTTCTTTCATTATCAGTTAACCTTTTTAGACCGCCAAAGTAACGCTAATGTCGTCGATAACTTTGCCTTCACAGCTGACCTAAATGGGCAAAGAAATATTCTTCTTTAGACTAACAGGTGAAAAAGACCAGTACGATGAACTGGAGTTAATCAGCATGCAGTGTCTATATTGCACATGTAGGATGTGGTACGAGTAGTAAGAGAAAGGTCGATTTCTTTAGTTTGGTGAATTGAGGGAATCGCCAAATTTCACGGTCATGTAACTGACAGCTAGAACAGATATATGGATCAGTGGTTGCCCAGGTCATAGAGGTGCTGAGTGGGCCTATGTGTCAGAGTGGCATTGAGTACGCTGCTACCGAGGAGCTGAACATGCGCAGGCGTTGTTTGGACCTGGAGGAAGCTTGAACTTGTGTTAGACTCGATCAAAATCCCGTGCAGCTTTGAGAAGGAAGTATCCATTGCAGATAGTTGACTCCAAACGTATGTTTGTTTCTTGTCCCCTAATTCCACTTTTTCTATCTTATAAAAGCTATACCTTTTCATTTTTGTGTGTTTTGTCTCCAATATTTTCCAAAATAGCCAGTTTATTTAAATGTCGTAGTAGTAGGAAGAATTGGGGAATAGGAGGCGCTTCTTCCTATTAAATTGAGGAAATAGGTCTGCTAGACTACGCAATTGCATTTTCACAACTTTCGTCAACCTCACATTGACATCCTTTGTTCTGACGTTACCATTCATTGAAATATTTTATCTCCATTTACTTGGCTACTTGCGACTTGGGATGATTATATGAAGGCACACACCCACAAGGGTTTAAAAAACAAGATGAGTCGTTGCTTGACCAATGTCATATCAACATGCTTGATGTTTTGAGCATGAAGGTTCATAAGCTTACAGAACTGCGTAACGTTAGTGTACTATTCGGTGGCTTTCTATGCTAGAGAAGATAGGGGAAGTTTAGACATGGGTTATTGGCGTAGCAACCGCCACAAGCTAATTTGGGTAGGCCTGTATTTCACTTTCTAATCAATGGTCAGTTAAAATTAAAATTTCAAAAGTGACATTCAATTTATCTGATCACAGCTAACTGTAATCACGTTTAAGGAGTCAATGAATTTTAAAATTACTTTACTGGTACCGATACAATAGAAAATGCAAGTTCAAACCACTGACGGATTTTTATTAAACCTCGATGATGTTGTTGTTGAAAATTGTCTGCACTTACAAGACAAAAATATCAGTAAATTCATTTGATTTTAATTGCCAAATTTTATTTTAAGCCCCTCCTAAAGAGTCCTTGAAATTGAAGGGGGTAAAGCTGGATGTTATGAAGACGATAATTGAATGGTGCAGAATGAGCACCAATCGTGAGATATTCGACATACCTGAAGGTGAATCGAGAGAATGGAGATGGAGTCTGGCGAAGTGGAACTCCGACTTTTTGCTTGAAAACCGGGGACAGCTCATCGAACTCACACTTGCGGCAATTGAACTTGGTTCCAACAGGCTGAAGGAGTCCTGCTGCTTGGCGATAGCGATGGACATTCGTGAAAATGGCTCGGCCAGTAGTTTTTTGGGATCTGTAATAGATGCCTAAGAAGAGCAGTGATTGTTGATTTGTTTTACTAAATACAATTTTAGAGTATTCATTGCTTGTGAAACTCCTGTCTGATTGTTTATGTCTTAATCGTTTGATTTCCTATTTGCATATTAATGTTGCTAAGGCGTAAATTAACACAATTTCTTATTGAGGGTGAAAATTATTTCAATTTAACTTACTTAATCCCGTTATTGTGTTTGCATCATTTTTTAACTTTATTATACACAAAATAAGATATTTAATTGTGGGAAGCGATAATTGGGGAGGGGAGAGGATATAGACAGCTAATTATCTTGAATTCGGGTTATGCAATAATTACTAAAAGAGTGGCTCACATTAAAAAAAACAACTAAATTTCATGATTCCTCGACCAGTTAACAGTAAAGGTTTATGGGCTAATTTTTCAATCAATGGGGTCAATTAATTTCTTTGCCCAATGAATAAGAAGGCAAAGCGGTTGTGTGCGATGTTTTGCATCTGAATGCTTTAATACTTCAAAGATAGCTAAATATTTGTAGTTTCCATAGTCGCGCAAACTGTTTTCGCTCAAAGTGAGTCATTTATCTATTAACCAGGTTTGTATTAATTTGATTTCAAGTCAAGACTATAGTAACCTCTTCACTTGTCCCCCCCCCCTCCCCCAACCGCTCATCTGCTATTCCGAATATATTTTGGGCATATTAACTCGAAGTTAAAGCAGGCACGACTTGAAGGTAGGGTATTTGACATTCACCAACAAACTGACTATGGAAAAAAAGGTCAAGCTACTAATCGCATCAATAAAATCTCTAAAATGTGAGTCTTAAGGCTTGCTTGACATTAAATGCATTGAATTGTTATAAAAATATTCGAAGACTTGAGGTCATCAGGAAAGTTCAAATAATTTTCCAAAGGAAAATAGATAAATCATCGTTAATGATAACTACGTCAATGGCTAATATCTTGGTGTTAGGGAAAGGGATAAATAGTTATTTATATCAAATGGCAGGCGTTTTGATGGTTATCATTAGCCCTTCAGTTGACTTCAGGCTTTACAGAGGGGAAGGAACATCAAAGTGAATAAAAAGTCGAGAGGGAGGAGGCCAACAGAAGAGTGTTTCAAAGATGTAAGAGAGAGACAATGGTAGAAAAAGAAGTGAGGTGAGTACTATGGAAGTGGTCGACTATGACATACAGTCGGGTCATGGTAGTTTGAAGTGAGAAGTCAACTGCCAGTCAATAGACTTTTTTGCCGAATGAATATACGTTGCCCAGGGTGCACCACATTTTGCCGTATGAGTATGCGTTGCCCAGGGTGCACCACGTTTTTGCCGTATGAATATACGTTGCCCAGGGTGCACCACGTGGGCAGTTTGAAGTACCAGTCAATAGACTTTTTTCCGCATAAGTATACGTTGCCCAGGGTGCACCACATGGAGGTTGTAAGTACACGTTGCCCAGGGTGCACCACGTGGAGGTATGCCGTTTGAGTATACGTTGCCCATTGGTTTATAGACTTGTTTGCCGTATGAGTATACGTTGCCCGTCAATGGGGTGATGGTAGTTTGAAGTGAGAAGTCAACTGCCACAATGGGGTCATGGTAGTTTGAAGTTAGAAGTCAACTGCCTTTAATAGACTTTTTTGCCGTATGAGTATACGTTGCCCAGCGGTTTATAGACTTTTTGCCGTATGAGGTCTGTTGCCCAAATATGACATACAGTGGGGTCATGGTAGTTTGAAGTCAGAGGTCAACTGCCGGTTTATAGACTTTTTGCCGTGTTAGGGTTAGATCAACTGCCGGTTTATAGACTTTTTTGCCGTATGCGCATACACAATGACATACAGTGGGGTGATGGTAGTTTGAAGTGAGAAGTTGTGACATATAGTGGGGTGAGGGTAGTTTGAAGTCAGAAGTCCACTGCCGGTTTATAGACTTTTTGCCGTATGAGTATACTTTGTAACATACAGTGGGGTCATGGTAGTTTGAAGTCAGAAGTCAAGGCATACAGTGGGGTCATGGTAGTTTGAAGTCAGTGGTCAACTATACAGTGGGGTGATGGTAGTTTGAAGTGAGAAGTCAACTACCAGTCAATAGACTTTTTTCCGCATAAGTATACGTTGCCCAGGGTGCACCACATGGAGGTTGTAAGTACACGTTGCCCAGGGTGCACCACGTGGAGGTATGCCGTTTGAGTATACGTTGCCCATTGGTTTATAGACTTGTTTGCCGTATGAGTATACGTTGCCCGTCAATGGGGTGATGGTAGTTTGAAGTGAGAAGTCAACTGCCACAATGGGGTCATGGTAGTTTGAAGTTAGAAGTCAACTGCCTTTAATAGACTTTTTTGCCGTATGAGTATACGTTGCCCAGCGGTTTATAGACTTTTTGCCGTATGAGGTCTGTTGCCCAAATATGACATACAGTGGGGTCATGGTAGTTTGAAGTCAGAGGTCAACTGCCGGTTTATAGACTTTTTGCCGTGTTAGGGTTAGATCAACTGCCGGTTTATAGACTTTTTTGCCGTATGCGCATACACAATGACATACAGTGGGGTGATGGTAGTTTGAAGTGAGAAGTTGTGACATATAGTGGGGTGAGGGTAGTTTGAAGTCAGAAGTCCACTGCCGGTTTATAGACTTTTTGCCGTATGAGTATACTTTGTAACATACAGTGGGGTCATGGTAGTTTGAAGTCAGAAGTCAAGATGTCAACTGCCGATTAATAGACTTTTTTGCCGTATGAGAAGTGATAAGTCAACTGCCGGTTAATAGACTTTTTTGCCGTATGAGTGGGTTGCCCAGGGTGCACCGCGTGGAGGTAAGTCTATCGCAACAACTGCCGGTTAATAGACTTTTTTGCCGTATGAGTATACGGTGCCCAGGGTGCACCACGTGGAGGTAAGTCTAAATATACATTGCCCAGGGTGCACCACGGAGGTAAGCCGAATGAGAATACGTTGCCCAGGGTGCACCACGTGGAGGTAAGGTGTAGTATACATTGCCCAGGGTGCGCCACGTGGAGGTAAGACCGTATGATTATACGTTGGCCAGGGTGCACCACGTGGAGGTACCTTTTGCCATATGTGGATACGTTGCCCAGGGTGCACCACGTGGAGGTAAGTCTAAATATACATTGCCCAGGGTGCACCACGGAGGTAAGTCTATTGCACACCCCATGATACCTATCATAACGCCTGCCATTTGAAAGTACGTTGTCCAGGGTGCACCACGTGGAGGTAAGTCTATCGTATTCTTAAGAATAATTGTTTAGAAAACCAGCAAGGGTTGAAAGTTGCCCAGGGTGCACCACGTGGAGGTAAGTCTATCGCACGCTGTCCAGGGTGCACCACGTGGAGGTAAGTCTATCGCACACACCCCTCCGCTTCCAAATAAGATGTTGATAGTGAAGGCATATTTCCAGGGTGCACCACGTGGAGGTAAGTCTATCGCACACCCACTTGGCTCTCCCCTCAAATTTCAACCCTACACGGATGGGCTTGTTTTTTTTTATTTTTACTATTACCATTACAATTATAATTATGCGCAAACATTATAATTGCATTATTGAAAGCTCCTATTCATCATTGAAGGCTGTATAGGTGACCGATAAGCTACTTCTCCATAGCTTATGTTTCCTCGATGCTATCGAGATGGCTTAGTTAATATCGAAAAAAATATTTGGGAGAATCATCTACAACCTGGATGACAAGTTTATCCCAATAGATAAACGAAAAAATATCCTGTTATTTCAATTTAACTGTCATTTTTAACAAATTATTGCAAGTAGCAATCGAAACTATTAGAAAAAATACATTTAACGAAATCTACACTAAAAATCACCTTTATTCACCTTCCAAAGACTCGCTATGTCAAAAAAGTGGATAATTAGAAGAATCTCCTTTAATGCTACTTGTATTGTATAGCCTTGCAGGCAAATTTCAGTTGCAGTGAGTATCGTCAACTTAACCTCTGAACGGAGGTCCCGAATTGAATAAGCAACTGCACATATTAATTAGAAGGTTAGTCCAATAGTGTGGACTAAATTAGGTCATGAAAGGAGAAGCGCAATACGCAATTCTCAACTGCGAGATTTCAGGGTGGTTGTGTGAGGCACGTTATCGCTCTGTGCGTCATCGTATGCCTGCATGTCTGCTCGCCAGGATTGGGAGGTGCGGCGTGCAACTCTGTGTGCAGCGACCGTACAAACAGTGACCAATCATCAACCTCTGTTTAACCTAATCCCCCATTCTGATCATGAGTAGCTCGCCGCGTGTACACTTTATCCACAATATGCGTCCTGAGTGAACGTGCTCCGTGCTACACGTCTGTTTCCTTTATAGCTGCGTGCTCCGTGCTACACGTCTGTTTCCTTTGCGTACTCCGTGCTACACGTCTGTTTCCTTTATAGCTGGGCGCCCCGTGCTACACGTCTGTTTCCTTTATAGCTGGGCTATAGCAACACGTCTGTTTCCTTTATAGCTGGGCTATAGCTTAGCTGAATTATACGTCTGTTTTCTTTATAGCTGGGCTATAGCTTAGCTAGTTCGGGAGTCTAGCTAGATGTAGGAGAATCTGCCAGAGATTTCTCGGGAGTCTAGCTAGATGTTGGAGAATCTGCCATAGAGACTTGATTTCTTTATAGCTGGGCTATAGCTTAGCTGGTTCTGGGAGATCCTTTCATAGCTGGGCTATAGCTTAGCTGGTTCTGGGAGTCTTTCATAGCTGGGCTATAGCTTAGCTGGTTCTGGGAGTCAGCCTATAGCTGGGCTATAGCTTAGCTTATTCTGGGAGTCTAGCGTAGCTGGGGTATAGCTTAGCTGGTTCTGGGAGTCTAGCTAGATGTGGGCTATAGCTTAGTTGGTTCTGGGAGTCTAGCTAGATGAGTTTCCTTTATAGCTGGGCTATAGCTTAGCTGGTTCTGGGAGTCTAGCTAGATGTAGGTTCTGTCATAAATATTTCTGAGTAAGTCAGGCTTTAATAAAGTAGCAATCCGCTACAGTTTTAAAGAAGAGAGTTG